GCTGGATGTATCTCCACCAACTGGCTCCTCTGTTCTCTGGTTCTGATCCGTGCTGCACTTATTTAGTTTATTTTACAGGATCTGATGCAGACCGTCTGTTTTCAGCAGATTAAGCTGACATGTGACTCATTTAAACAGATTTTCTGTTTTCACCATTTCTGGTTCACAAATGTTCTCATTTAGGAGTTTTTTAAAGATGACATGTCCTTCTAACCCGTCAGCGTTTGAGCTTCAGAGGTTTTAATGTAAGCTTGAGGTTTACTCTGAAGGATTTTTACAACCAAAGCAAGCTGAGATGATCTGACAGCACATGTTCACGAGTTTCTCTGATATCTGAGCGTCTCCTACAGACAAGGTTGTTCTCTGGATTGAGCAGTTTGGTCTCTAAGATGTTGGAAAACTGTGAAAAATGTCAAAAACAAATGTTTAGTTTTGTCTGCAAACCAGGAAGTTCATTCAAGAGCTGCAACCAACAAGGAAAATAAGTGACCAGTTGTTTGATCTCTGAAGTGTTTCCTGAAGAAGACAAAAGTCTGGTTTTGTCCAAAGATATTCAGTTTGCTGTCAGAGGAGGAAAGAAACAGAAAACATTTATATTAAGGAGCTTCTAAACGATGACTTCAGCTGATTGATTCCTGCACATCCTGTAGCTGCAGGATGAATGTGTTTTATGCTCTGCTGATAAACAGATTCCAGGTTTTGTGTCTCCTCTGAAGCAGCTCCAGGTCAGACTCGTGTTCGCCTCCAGGCGGCGACTCGGTGCGACTCACCTGCTCGTGTCTCTCTGCAGGATCCTGGAGCTGCAGGAGAAAGGCGACCTGGACATCATGAAGCAGAAGTGGTGGCCTCGGACCGGCCGCTGCGACCTGAGCAGCCACGCCAGCGCTCACCCCGACGGACGCTCCCTCAAGCTGCACAGCTTCGCCGGCATCTTCTGCATCCTGGCCGCCGGCCTGCTGCTGGCCTGCCTGGTGGCCGGGCTGGAGGCTTGGTGGAACAGCAACCGCTGCCGCCAGGAGCAGCCCAAAGAGGTGACCGAGCACAGGGCCCGGCGGACGGGCCAGCGGGGGGAAGACACTGCCACACTCTACTTTAAGGATCCAGCCGCAGACGCGAGCCCCGACTTAGTGGAGCTCCAGTACACCCAGCTGTAGAGGGTAGCGGTAGCTAGAGGAGGCTGGGACAGAGGCAGGACACATGTAGACGCAGCCCAGGACACTGATGAAATCAAATTTGGTCTCTTATTATTATTATTATTATTATTATTATTATTATTATTATTCCCTCCATTTTTTATTTCCGTCATCGCTCCACCTCGTCCTGAACTGACACCAGAGCTCATCTGTTTTTCTTTGGTATTAAACCACACGGAGCTCTGACCAAACTCCACCTCACCTCCACTCTACTAATACACCCATCGCACCTCTTTTGCTTTGACTCGACCAAAACACTCGAGGCCTTACGAGTCCTGCACGGTCCCTCGGCGTCGGCTCCGTGCTGAATCACTGTTCTAGACTCATTTCCTTCGGTGAGCTTTGGTAATTCGCTGCACCCACGGGTCCTGACAGTATAATTAGCAGCAGAGATTGCTCGGGCGGAGACGGATAACGGTGTCGAACACGGACTCGCCGTCGTTTTAGTGTGAAACCCTTCAGAGACGTTCGGCCTTAAACTGAGCTCAGTTTGAACAGAATCAGTTGGTCCAGGACCTGGAGCTGCTCATCTACAAAGTGCCTACTGAACACCAACACAGGAAGACTTCAGCATCCTGATCAGTTAGAGCAGGTTGTTATCCACTAAACATCCACGTTGTACCGATTCAGCGCCACAAGCTGAGTCCAAAATGATTCATATTTATCACCACAGTCTGATTTAAAGTGATGTTTTGGACCAACTGGTTCCTTCTGGCTGAAAACGACATAAAAAAGTGACACCAGACAATAAAACATTATGTCAGAGACGTTAATGACCAACTTTAACTGTTTTTATGTCTTTTTTTTACTGGTCAAGTCAGTTATTATTTATACAGCAGACTTAAAACAACAGCTGTTGCGCTAAAAGGCTTTCTAGTAAAAACCAAGATGCTGATTGGTGGAACAAATTAACGAGTTTAAATATTGGAGTTCAGACATTACAGTGTTATGAGTAAACAGTAATTTACAAATTAGGGATTAAAACCCGACAGAACTTATGTTAAATACTATTTTACTTGATTACAGTACTAAAAATACCACGTCTGAAATGATTCATATCGCTGAAATTGGTAGAAATGTCTGAGAAAATGCCCGTGTTAGTCAACTAGTCACGGACAAACCCAATAAAAACTGGATGAGAACTGAAAGAAACAACCAGAAACATTAGGAATCCGTCTCCAACACGACGTCTTTCTGCCTTTAGATGCCTGTTTACGCCGTTTTCAGTCAGATACAGTCTGCTCATCAAACAAAAATTCACTTTACATCAAAAGTTGGCCGAGATGAACCTGTTAAACTGAGTCATTCGCCCTCGGACTGATTTAGAGCTGCATTCTGTCCCAGTTCTGTACAGTTTAGCGATCCTGCCGTCTCAGAACATACAGTAGCGCTACATAAAGCCCCCAAGTGCCTGCTGTTATTTCTAAGTGTGAAAACTGTGGGACAGAAGTGGATCGAGTCCAGCAAACAGTCGAGCAAACTTCAGCTGCGACTGTCTTAACAGACCATAAAGCTGCGATAAGAAATTCTGAAGCACTTGGCAGCAGAACGGCAAAATACGCCGTCAGCTTATCAAGTTTTCATCCCACTGGAGCCGTTTTTGTGGCTCTTTAGCTGCTAAATGTTCCACCGTCTTCACTCCGCTGTCTGCTGCCGAACACGCCGCGCAAAGTGGCTTTTACAGCTTATTTTGCAGAAAAGGCCACAGAGGATTTATGCAGGAGCCAAATATACGACCGAAGGAGCCGAAAAGAGCTGCAGAGCTGAAGTTCTCACAACAACACTCTCAATCAATGCTAATTAACAAATAACGGCGCCTCCACGCTGCACGTACAGGTCTGTAGCGCGCTCCGTATCGTTTTACTGGAATCCAGTCTGATTATACGACACAGATTGTAATTAAAACCATAATCAGCTTCACTAAGTGGATTTCAGAGGCCGCTAACTGATGCTGACAACCCGCAGAATTAGCTGAGTAGCGCAAGAAACCAAACGTAGATCACATGTGGAGCCTCCTGACGTGAGAACACGATAAAACACTGACACCTGAAGCGCCCTGAGGTACACCTGTGGTTTAGTCCCACTCGGTGAACTCGTGGAGCTTCTTCCTCGAACAGCAGAGAACAACGCTAGAACCTGGAAGCAGCTGAAAACCTGCTGCTGTTCCCGTTGGGGAGGCTGAGATGTCGGGTTCAGACTCACGGTATCAGCAAGAAAACAGTTCACTGATGGTTATTCTCAGATTAGCGGATGGTAGCGGTCAACTAAAAGACTTTCCCGCAAAGTTAAAGACGATAAAAATACGTCGTGTTCCACGTGTTCGATTTGTTAAGTGTGAAAAACTTTTCTTTGTTGCTTTTCTACAAAGAACAAACCAACAGACGTTCACTCAAGAAACAGAGAAATGAAACGTCATGTTTAAGAGATTAAACTCGATAAAATAGAGACTCTGTACTCGAGTACTGTTTCCTGTGTCGGCGGATATTTTGGTGAATGGCGTAAAAAGCAAAGGTCCAGTAGTCCAGTAGAAAGTCTGACTTCCTGTAGGGTTAGCTTGAACTTTCGTCAGTCAAACATCAGAAACATCCAGTTGCCATTAAACGAACCACCTACAGGTTCATTTTTCTGTCTTTTTTTAAACTTCTCCAACCCAACGCACCACTCTGGAGACCTCTGGGTGTTGCCATCCAGCAGGAACATCAGAGAACATGAACACAAACAGCCTCCTGATAGTCTGTCTACAGTCGTAGGTCAGTCGAACCTCGGCGTAGTGATTCTGCTGAAGTTCAAACCTGCCGTTGGTTCTGAGTGCACCGAAGCATCAACAAACACTGACCGAGATGCTGCAGTTGAAAATGAACTAATACGTGGCCGTTCTCAGGGGAGAACTCTGGTTCTGCCCAGTAGCTGCTATTTGTCCTGGTTCTGGTGCACTTGGAGGTAACGTCAGGGTTGAAGCTGTTGGATTGGACCAACAAAGACTGGAAGGGACGATCAGGGGCCAGGTCCTGTAAGCAACAGCAGAGTCCCTGTGGTGGGAAGCTGCCTGTTGACGGCTGGTTGTTGGTAGTTGAACAAAAAAAGAGGGATTTAATAATCATACAATTTGTTAATCAAATGGAACCCACTGGACAGTAGCCCTGTGCCATTATTACTGTATCTAGCAACATCTGATCTCGGCTTGAATCAACTCATGTGAGGGAAGTCTTTGTCATGGCGCCCCTTGACTAGTTAGACCCCCCCACAGGCCGTCAGTATGAAGCAGTCGTGTTAAACAACTACAACACCTGAAGCAGGTATCGGATATCAGCAGACACTCAACACTAAATGATTAGGTTCGAGTTTGAACACTCAGATCGGGACATCCATATATAAGAAGCACGAGCTAGCATAAAGAAACCAGCTGAGCCGACGCTTTGAGCAGAACCATCCTGCAGTCTGAACCCAGCATCGGCCGTCCTGACAGAACCAGAACCAGATCTAACACACCTTCTCAGTCCAAACATGTGGCGCGTTACTGCGTATGAGCGTCTCCGAAACACTCGAACACAAACCCGACCTCGACGACATCCAAGCGGCGGGAACACCCGGAGGCGTCGGTCACGTGACAGGAAGCCAGGTGGGAGGAAACCTCTGATGTGGATCCATAAACTAAAGTGTGAGCAGACCGTTGGCTGGTGTGTCGCCCTGTTAGCAATAAGATCTGTCTCCTACATCCGTCCATTAGCTGCTACTCACTGTGTCACGTCTTATTGCAGATTATATGTCAATGTGGACGCCCGTGTTATCTATCTCCTCTCCTTGTCTTCATCTATCCTCTTCAGCTTTTGATTTACACTTGACTGTCTATGATCTCGTGCAGGTTACTAAGGATTACAGACTGGCAAGGGTTTCTGGTCCATTGACATATAATGACATTACAACTGCTTCATCGGAGGGGAGGAGGGACATTTGGACAGACAGAGAGAGAGGCTGGGATGAAGCAGAAGCTATTGATACAGGTCAGAATAGACCTCCTATAACACTACCAGAAATAAAGACCAACCATTCAAACGCATATCTGTGCCGTCGCCAAGCTGCTTTCTGTTTTCTACATGGGTGCATTTCTGAGCAGAAACGTGACTAAAGCCCGGTTTACTGTGGCCCAAGTTCTGGAAATACACAGCAGCAGATATAAAAGCACACACAGGTTTCAGGAACAACCAACACCACGCTCTTCTCATTTTCAACCACAAACACGATAACGAGATTACACGAGTCCTTCCAGACAGAAACGTTAAGCTGTAGGCGAAGAGTTTGGGGGTTAAATCGAATGTTTTGTTGTTAAACTTCCTGTTTTCTCATTAAGCCTCCCACTGATTAAAGCTAATTGCCAATTTTCTAATCAGGACGTTATTTCCAGAACAGAACGTTTCAGCTCCGCAGAAAGAAAACTAAAAAAAGGCCCAAATCTAATTGGTTCACGGTTCGAACGCAGACAGTTTTGCTGTTAATTGCAGCTGATTGAGTCGATCAGTGCTCCTTGTTTAGAAACCCTCCTGGTTCCTGCAGTGCCTCTCTGTTTCTCCTCGCTTCGTCTCATCTGGCCATCTTTACCTGTGTGAACACATCTCATAAGGGCTGACCTCTGACCTCACTTTTACCTGTTTCAGTCGTCTTGAACACAACAAATCCAGTTCAGTTTAGTGCCTTTTTAAACACGTCTGTATCAGAACAACCCAGTACTGCCTGTAAGCCTTTATAAACCCAAAACACACCAGGACTGTAAAAACCTCTCGTCCATGCTAGCAGGCTAGCTAACTAGCTTTATGTCTACAGATAGCAGCTGTTGTTGTATT